CAGTTTGGCCATAAAAGTGCCAACTGTCCCAACTCGACTAGGGGAGCAGGAATAGCAAGAACCAGCCCAGCTGTTACTACAAGCGGCAACGTAAATGAAATCAACAATGTTTCTTCCAAAGAACGGGGTCAGTTGCTGAAAATTATTCGAATAGGCGACGTTAAATGCAACGCTTTGGTTGACACGGGGAGTCAAGTCAATTTGGTCAGCCAGAGTTTGTACGAGACTATGGGATTGCCCAAGACAGATGACAACATTATACTAAACGGGTTTGGTGGATCAGAAATAACTACAATAGGACGTTTGGCATGCAGATTGGAAATTGATGACCAGATGTTTGCAACACATGTTTTCATTGTACCATCGGGAATGATGAATTACGGCGCTATACTGGGAAACGACCTGCTTAAACAAACAGAACTTGTCATAAATAAAGATGGAGTTAGAATTACCAGAAACGACGAGGAATATTTAATAATGAAGATTGATATATCTGAAGAGCGTTCAGAGAAAATACCCGAAGAAACTGAATTTGTCAGGGAAGCTAATCTGTTACTTTTGAACTATCAGCCAAATAAAATTAAAAAAACGAATTTGGAAATGAAACTTATAGTTAAAAACGACGAACCAATTCATCAGAACCCTCGACGGCTTCCTTTCTCTGAAAGAAAAATCGTTAGTGATCAGATAGAGGAGTGGCTTAAGGACGGAATAATCGAACCTTGCACATCGGAATGGACTAGCCAAGTAATAGTAGCGCGTAAGAAGGATGGCTCGCCAAGACTTTGTATTGATTATAGGAGGATCAATAAGATACTGGTAAAGGACCGGTATCCTCTTCCGCTGATAGAGGATCAATTGGATAAATTGCAAGACGCGAAAATATTTTCTACATTGGATCTGAAGAATGGGTTCTTTCATGTGGGTGTAGAGGAGGAGAGCCGTAAATATACCTCATTCGTAACGGACAGTGGTCAATATCAATTCAGGAGGGTACCATTCGGCTTATGCAATTCCCCATCAGTGTTCCAAAGATTCATAAATCTAACTTTTCAACCTCTGATAAACTCTGGAACAGTTTTGCCCTACATGGACGATCTCATAATACCCAGCTCTAGCGAGGAAGAAGCAGTCCAAAAACTTGAGATAGTATTAAAAACATGCCGAGACTACGGACTAAAAATTAATAAGAAAAAATGTAGTATCATGAGACGACGCATAGAATTTTTGGGTCATATCATCGAAAACGGTAAATTGTATCCTTCGGAACTTAAGACAAAAGCAGTAGTGAATTTTCCGGCACCCAAAACCATAAAACATCTTCAAAGCTTCCTGGGATTAACAAATTACTTTAGAAAGTTCATCTTTAATTATTCGCTTATAGCACGGCCTTTGACGGATCTTCTTAAAAAAGAAGCAACTTTTGAGTGGGGAACGAGGGAAAAAGAAGCTTTTAACAACTTGAAAGACGCCTTAACCAACAAACCGGTATTAAGTATTTTCAGACAGGGAAGTGAAACCGAAGTGCATACAGATGCGTCAAAATATGGTTACGGAGCTATCCTCCTACAAAGATCTTACAATGATAATGCAATGCATCCAGTGTACTTTATGAGTAAAAAAACGACGAGTACAGAACAAAAATATTGCAGCTACGAATTGGAGGTTGGCTGTGATAGAAGCGCTCAAGAAATTTAGAAATTATCTCCTGGGGTTCAAATTTAAAATAATAACAGACTGTGCAGCTTTTACCAAAACAATGGAGAAAAAGGATATAACTACAAAAATTGCAAGGTGGGCGCTTATGTTAGAAGAATATGATTACGTCATAGAACATCGTGCTGGTAACAGAATGAAGCATGTCGATGCTTTGAGTCGATATCCAATCATGCAGATAACAATGGAGGACAGTATAGTAGCTAAAATTAAACATGCTCAGGATGGTGACGACGAAATAGCAGCCATTAAAGAGATTCTGTCGACGAAGCCATACAAAGAATATATCCTAAGAAGTAACATTGTATACAAACTACACGAAAATCGAGAACTTCTAGTGGTACCAAAGCTCATGCAAACAGAAATAATAAAAACTATTCACGACGAAGGACACTTCTCAGTACGAAAAACCGAAGAGACCGTTAAAAATGAGTACTTCATACCTAAGCTTAGGGGGAAGATAGAAATAATAATAGCTTGTTGTGTTCCATGCATCATGAGCAATAGGAAAAGGGGTAAACAAGAAGGATTTTTGCATCCATTACGAAAAGAAGATATTCCTTTACATACATACCACATAGACCATTTAGGACCCTTGGAATCCACGAACAAGAATTATAAGCACATACTTGCAGTCACGGACAGCTTTTCAAAGTTCATATGGCTTTACCCTACGAAGTCCACTACGACGCATGAAGTTATTACAAAGCTTAATCAACAGAAGGTACTTTTTGGAAATCCAGCTGTAATAATTAGCGACCGGGGTACCGCATTTACTTCAAATGAATTCGAAGAGTACTGCAGGAATGAAAATATAAAGCATTTTAAAATAACTACGGGTCTGCCAAGAAGCAACGGACAGATTGAACGAGTCAATTCCACTTTAATTAATGTTCTAACGAAGTTGTCTATAGATAACCCTGCAAAATGGTATACTCATGTAAGTGGAGTTCAGCAAATTATTAATTCGATCAACGTGGGATCGGACGAACACCATTCGAGTTGCTAACTGGAGTAAGAATGAGAAGAAGTGAGGATGTAAAAATACAAGAAATAATAGAAGAGGAGCTACTAAGATCATTCGAGCAGGATAGAGAGGAATTACGAAAAGCGGCTCATATACAAATAGCGAAGACGCAGAAAGAAAATCGTGACGCATTCAATAGAAAACGAAAATTGGCAAGGAAGTATAAAATTGGCGACATAGTGGCCATAAAGCGTACTCAAATGGGACCAGGATTAAAACTTAAACCTAAATATTTGGGTCCTTATCGTATTATCAAGGAGAAAACGAACGATACATATGACGTAGAAAAAATTGGTTGCCATGAGGGACCAGTATGTACTTCGACATGCAGCGAGTACATAAAACCGTGGACACTAATAGACGACGACGAGAATCAGGAAGACGACGACGAGAATCAGGAAGACGACAACGAGAATCAAGAAAACGACGAAAATTAATAAAAAGAAACGACGAAAATTACTAATAAGAAACGACGAAAAATAGTAAAAAGAAACGACGAAAATTTAAAAAGAAACGACGAAAATTACTAATAAGAAACGACGAAAAATAGTAAAAAGAAACGACGAAAATTTAAAAAGAAACGGCGAAAATTACTAATAAGAAACGACGAAAAATAGTAAAAAGAAACGACGAAAAATAGTAAAAAGAAACGACGAAAAATAGTAAAAAGAAACGACGAAAAATAGTAAAAAGAAACGACGAAAATTTAAAAAGAAACGACGAAAATTACTAATAAGAAACGACGAAAAATAGTAAAAAGAAACGACGAAAAATAGTAAAAAGAAACGACGAAAAATAGTAAAAAGAAACGACGAAAATTACTAATAAGAAACGACGAAAAATAGTAAAAAGAAACGACGAAAATTACTAATAAGAAACGACGAAAAATAGTAAAAAGAAACGACGAAAAATAGTAAAATGAAACGACGAAAATTTAAAAACGAACGAGAAACGACGAAAGTTAAGGAACGACAAAATAGAGGACGCCAGCGGGGACCGCAGGCTAGCAGGACGGCCGAGTTGTGGGATCTGATCGGGGGCCGTACCGCCTCTGTGGTACCAGTCAGGGAGGGTCGCACCGCTCCTGTGTGTCGGGACGGCGGATCGACGACGGGAGAAGCGAGTAGAAGAGAAGAGAACACAACGCGACGGGAACAACGACGTAACGACGGTGGCGATTGGAAAGCAATTGTGGACAATATTTTATGAGAGTTCTTTGTGTGAGCGTTGTGTGGACAATGTTTTATGAGAATAGTAAAGACGTTAGAGTTAATAGCGTGTTTTACTGCCAGATCCCATAGTAGTTAAAGTTCTTTTACTTATTGTTAAATTCATCTTCACGTACAGTATCAATTTTATTATCGTTAAATTCATATTCTAATTCAGTACGATAGTTAATTAATTTTCTTTTGTTAATAACGAAAATTCGACTCGCCTTCACCGTTTAGTAATTACTCTGTGAATTATAGATATTCCTTTGGATCTGGACCCCAACTGATCGATCAATTGGAGGACCCAGCTGTATCGCTATAGTATATTGACTTCGCAGAACTTCGTTTTACTTTGAACCATCCGGTTGACCGGATCACCATCGGTAAGTCGAATTTGATTTATACCGTGAATGCTATCTCGTACTGTTTGGAATTTCTTAATAACTATTTTCCTATTTCTTAGTTTTTCTCTTAATATTTTTTTTTATTGTATTCTATTATTTCTTTCGCTATTGTATTAAATTAAATACCTATAGAGTTACTAAAAGTGTGTACTATCAATTCCTTGTTAAGTTGGGAGTTGATATACGATTATATTGTTAAGGGCACTGGGTCAACTTAACTGGCGCCCGTTTTATATCTAAATATCATTTAATTTTGACTCACTCCCGTCTCATCTGAGTATAGCCGCGTGCCCGGATGTTCAAGTCATCCACCTAAGTAACGAAATATATATTTACCGTTTTATTTTTGTAGTTTTATTGAAGGGGTAAAATTTTAACGTTACATTTTGGCGCCCAACGTGGGCCAAATGCGAAAGAAATAAGAAGAATAAGAAATTCCGAACATTTATTATTTTATTAGGTTACTAATACCCGCACCAGCCAAACCCGCGAGTGCCGGGTCCACCGAAACGGCGGCCGTTTCGACAGCCCGCAGGTAACGACTGAAAGCCCGATAGGCGGGGTCAGGAGCCGCGACCTCCGGGGAAGCTGGAAGGCTTCCCAGGTCGGGACTGGATGGCAGAGTACCATCGTCCCGGTTGGTCAGCGGCCTAACATCAGGGTCAAGAGGAAGGGCGAGGGAGCTCGCCTCCTCGGGGACAAACAAAGGGGCGGGGCCGCGTCCGGACGCACAACAAGGAGCGCCCGCGTCAACGACAGGTGGGGCCGATGCCGGCAGAGGCTCGCCGCCGCCAGAGTGCTGAGAATCTAGACAAACACATACCTTATTTCTACAGACAGCACACACATCACTAACACTAACACTAACACTATCACTACCACTAACACTAACATCCGCTCCGTCGTCTGCTCCCGCTGATGCAGCCGCGAAGGAACTTCGGGCTGCCTCCAGGTAACTCCGATAGACTGGCTTCCGGCGACGAATGTAATCAATCTTGGAAGCGGGGAGACCTGTCGCTTCCACCATGCGGGCTATGAAGGGTTGGCCCTTCCTGGTAGAAGCCTCAATCCCCGCCAGAGTCTCGTAGATTTCCCACTCCTGGCTGGGGTTGTCGAGCCCCCGCTGTAGCTCCTGGCTGTAGTCGGCCGGGTGGGCCCGTCGCTCGTGTTGACGGACCCCAATGAACGTGTCGAAAGCCGCATCGCAGTATTGGCATCTTGAACGGTTACGGGCCTGACCGTTAACGATGCCACAGGATTTTCGATGCCTGGCCAGGCCTGATCTGGTTTTACACGTGTGGCCGCATTCGCATGCGGCCAAATCGTTGTTGAGGCCGGGGGGCGAGCCCGAATTGCTGGGTGCCCTTAAACGTTTTTTAATAGTCCCGGTCCTCTTGAGGGGTCCGGAAGAGGATTTCTCCCCCTCCAGCGTGGGTCCGGAAGGACCCGGATAGGACGACTCGATCGTACTTGCTTCAGCTTCAGCCATTCCAGCAGAAAAGGCTCAAAAAGGACCTCGGAAGGCTCCTCCGCCAAAATTTTAAAAACGCTCCTCCACCAAAATTTTAACTGGGCGGGGGCGTGGCCTCCTGGAAAAAGTGGGCGTGGCTTCCAGGGGATTGGTCCCACCCTTGTGGGCGTGGCCAAGGGTGGTGGGCGGGGCTTACCCTAGGCCCTTGTGGCCTGGTACACTGACGTATAAGCGCCCCGACGTCACCACACTGCACCGCGACGACCGTACCAATCGGACGCCACTGACAGTCGCGAAAAATTTTGTGGCCGACTGCACTGTTCTGGCGTCGCGACGAACTACGTTACTACGACGGCCTAGTTCTTCGGGCGATGGTAACCGCGATAAAAATCGTGTCCATCGAACTCTTCGCGTCGTGGTACTAACGTCCATCCGAAGTAACTACACCGACCCACTCAGTTCAGTTCGATCGCTCGAGCGGTGCGGACGTGCCAGCAAACCTCCGTGTCGGTGTGTGGATAGCTGGATAGCAGGATAGCTGGCGCTCGTTGCGTACGAGTTTCATCCGGTAAAGCGAATGATTAGAGGCATTGGGGTCGAAACGACCTCAACCTATTCTCAAACTTTAAATGGGTGAGATCTCCGGCTTGCTCGAACGATTGAAGCCGCGAGACTCGAATCAGAGTGCCAAGTGGGCCATTTTTGGTAAGCAGAACTGGCGCTGTGGGATGAACCAAACGTCGAGTTAAAGCGCCTAAATCGATGCTTATGGGATACCATGAAAGGTGTTGGTAACTTAAGACAGCAGGACGGTGGCCATGGAAGTCGGAATCCGCCAAGGAGTGTGTAACAATTCACCTGCCGAAGTTACTAGCCCTGAAAATGGATGGCGTTGAAGCGTCGTGCTTATACTCGACCGTCAGCGGCAAGTGCGGTAATGTTTAACTCTCTGGGTTAAACGACCATGAAGCTCTGACGAGTAGGAGGGTCGCGGCGGTGTGCGCAGAAGGGCTGGCCGTGAGGCCGTCTGGAGCCGCCGTCGGTGCAGATCTTGGTGGTAGTAGCAAATACTCCAGCGAGGCCCTGGAGGACTGACGTGGAGAAGGGTTTCGTGTGAACAGCCGTTGCACACGAGTCAGTCGATCCTAAGCCCTAGGCGAAAGCCGATGTTGATGCGCGGTGTAGCTTATGAAAAAAATATATGAAATATATAATTATAAGTATATAATATGTTTTTTATTTATGAACACACCCGTCGGGCGAAAGGGAATCCGGTTCCTATTCCGGAACCCGGCAGCGGAACCGTCAAAAAGTCGGGCCCTCGTAAGAGAGTTCGTCGGGGTAACCCAAAAGGACCTGGAGACGCCGTCGGGAGATCCGGGAAGAGTTTTCTTTTCTGCATAAGCGTTCGAGTTCCATGGAATCCTCTAGCAGGGAGATATGGTTTGGAACGCGAAGAGCACCGCAGTTGCAGCGGTGTCCGGATCTTCCCCTCGGACCTTGAAAATCCAGGAGAGGGCAACGTGGAGGTGTCGCGCCGGTTCGTACCCATATCCGCAGCAGGTCTCCAAGGTGAAAAGCCTCTAGTCGATAGAATAATGTAGGTAAGGGAAGTCGGCAAATTGGATCCGTAACTTCGGGATAAGGATTGGCTCTGAGGATCGGGGCGTGTCGGGCTTGGCGAGGAAGCGGGTCACGGCTGACGTGCCGGGCCTGTGCGAGGCGAATCGTCTGATCCTGTAACAGGGTGAAGATGTGGAACCGAGTTCGGTCCCGTGCCTTGGCCTCCCGCGGAACCGCCTTGCTGCGAGGCTCCGGTATACCTTCGCGGGTTATCGGATGTCCTCTTCGGCCGCCATTCAACGGTCAGCTCAGAACTGGCACGGACTAGGGGAATCCGACTGTCTAATTAAAACAAAGCATTGCGATGGCCCCAGCGGGTGTTGACGCAATGTGATTTCTGCCCAGTGCTCTGAATGTCAAAGTGAAGAAATTCAAGCAAGCGCGGGTAAACGGCAGGAGTAACTATGACTCTTTTAACATTTCTTTAATCTTTAATCTTTTAACGTTTTTTACTCTTTTTTAACTTTTTTAACTTTTTAACTGCGTTTGCCCTTTTGTGTATTTACTGTAATTCTCTTGCTTTTACCTTTTCTGTTTCCTTTTAATCTGTTACTATTTTTACTGTCTGACCTATTGATTTATGTTCTATTTTTACTTATTTTGTATTCGTTATCTTGCGCTGATCTGCTCTTATCTGCTCGTTTTTAGTAATATTGCTAATGTATTTGTATCTGGTACTGCATGTGTCTTTTTTATAGGACAACCCCCCTACTGGGGTACGTGTATATATTGTATGAAAATTTTTCACAATAAATATTGTCACGAACGCCAATGAGTCGTGAGACGGTTAGGACACTCGAGTATTGAACCTGTGAGAATCGTTGCAAATAGTGCAACGATAGGTGAAATATTTCGAGGAATCATGTAAAACAGGATGCAACCAAACTCCACCGTCGATCGGACCACCGTGAGAACGGTGGACAAACGGGAGAGATTGGTTGGCATAAAAAGCCTAACCGCCTCGCGCCCGGGGAGATTCCTTATCCCGTACGATAAGGGACAGTACGCGTGATCTCTTGCGGGCCAAATCGAATTGTAGAAGTAGTTCCGAGCGTGTGTTATAGTTCCACCGAGTTCAAGTGTAACGGTGTTGTAAGTGCTCGAAAGAGTAAAGAGATCTCGCCGGCCCTCGTGACGTGCCCCGAAGTCTGCTAGACCTTCTAGATGAGGTAGGGTAGTTTGTAGGGCTATTTGTTGTTGCTTGGTGAGGTACAAGTACCTCACCCTTGTGTACTTAGTTTTAAGCAATATACCTGTTTATTATTATCTCTCTGAGTATCATTCTCTGGGCCCCTAGTTGAACCCCATTTTCAGAGTAGAAAGAAAGCCAAGGCTTTACCGCTACGCCCCGTAACAAAGAGGTTCCGCCGATAAAGGCGAAGCACGAGTTGAACAACACGATAAGAGGGCAAGTAGCCCCAAACATAGCAACTCGTGACATGGTGGAAGCTCCGAGTTCGATCTCGAGGGTAAATTCCTCCTAATTTGCCCCGTTAGTTTTGTCAGTTTTTTTAATTATTTAATTTTTTTTTGAGTACATTCTTGAGCATTTATAATTATTAATTAAACGAGTGCCCTGAGGGGGTAAAAAACCCAGAGAAAAAACCAGAGAGACATTTACTTTCTCTTTCAGCATCTGTGTGACTTTTTTTTTATTTTTTATTTTTCTGCATGCTCTTTGATTTTCTATTTTTTTCTCATCGATCGTTTTGTGGTTTGACATTTTTTTTACAGCGGTTTTTATATTTTTTTTGGTGTGGTTGGGAAAGGTACCAATCAAAAAATTTTAATTTTTTTTTCTCTTTCAAAATTGCAATCATTTTATTACAGTATATTCGTTACAAGTATTCTTATGCCTTATCTATATTTCTTTTTGCCGAACAAGTGTTTTACAAAATTCACATAAAAGTAACATGATGAGCGGGCATTAGCCTCTCATTTACAATTGGATCAAATTTACATCGTCTTACAGAGCGCTGAAATTACAAAAAATTAATCGAAATACAGGGTGTATAAAGAAATTTATTCGACCGCGAATAATTGTATTAATGTCACGACCTGTGTGACCAGGGCTGATGTAAGTAGAAGAGGTGTCGATGTTGAAATAGTAGTCTTTCAACCGCCTCTCAATAGACGACCAAGACAATATCCAAAGACACGGATGATGACGATCCCGCGCCGATAGGCAGAACGGATCGAGTGCTGAAGAGCTCCGAATGGGGCCGGTTGATAGGAATCCAGATCAGTTCAAAGGTAGACATGGTTAGCGGAATAGAACACATCGGCCAAAAGAGCCGAGTCATTTTGGAGAGGAAATTCGGCTTAGCCCATTTGGGCGTCCCCGTCTTAATGATCAGCTTAAATAAACCAAATAATTTGGCCCAATTGGCTAGGTTTCTGAGCGAGAAGCTGATGGGCGGCTTGCCGTACAGCGTATGGGTCAACGTTCCCATGATACATCCTTCCAGAAACAGCCCATTAGCGGAGCAAGAGTACATAACCGAAAGGATGTACGAAGCCGTAGTGCGTTAATACGCGATTTAGGTAGGTCATTTTAGTTGTAGTAATAGAGTTAACCTACTCCCCGCTTCCACGACAGCCGATGGAAGGTTAAAAGATCGGCTGCCACTGATTTTACACAGAAAACAAATCTATTTGATTTATATATATATATATATATATATATATATAAATATATATATAAATAATAATAAATATATATAAATATATATATAAATATATATATATATACAGGGTTGGGCAAAAGTCCGGAATAAAATTATTATCTGTTAAACCAGTAATTTAAACAAAAAACGCTGAAACACGTAAATTGATTTTATATTGGACGGATTTGTTGCCAATAAAATGATTTTTTTTTCTTCAACCCCTTAGTTGCAACCCTACCCAACTTTATTTTTTCAAATGCAAAGGTATGTCGTGTGTAGGGTCATTGAAAAGCCCGTGAAAAATGGAATCTAAAACATACCTTTTTTTTATTTTTCTCATGTTGTTATTTGGAAATGAGTAAAAAATTCTTTTAAAAACAAATATGTTACAAATACTTTTTTAGTGGTATCGACGTGTGAATTAAGGCTTACTCTACTTAACAGGCTCCAAGGCAATGGTAAAACCTAATATCAGTAGCCGTTCTTTAATTCTGAATGAACTTTTATTAAAAGCAGGCGAGCCTGGTCAGGCAGCACACCAAATTTTATTGATTTACCGTTTAAAACTGATAAGGCAATTTAGCATCAACATTCGTTGAAATTTATGTTTTAAGAAAAAACAAAAACATAAAATGGGTTTAAATCTAAGCCATTGTTGATCAGTGAACTTCAAAAAGGAAAACAGGTGTTGCATTTTTGTACAAGTTTTTTTTTACCAAAGGTTCGCCTGTTTTTATTAAAAAGTCATTCAGAATTAAAGATATGCTATCGATATTATGTTTTACCAATGCCTGGGAGCCTGTCAAATGGTGAAGGGCATTTTCAACATTGCTACGTCGATAGCACTAAAAAGGTATTTGTAACTTTTTTGTTTTTAAAAGAAATTTTTGCTCATTTCCAAATAACAACATGAGAAAAATAAAAAAAAGGTATGTTTTAGATTCCATTTTTCACGGGCTTTTCAATGACACTACACACGACATACCTTTGCATTTGAAAAAATAAAGTTGGGTAGGGTTGCAACTAAGGGGTTGAAGAAAAAAAAATCATTTTATTGGCAACAAATCCGTACAATATAAAATCAATTTACGTGTTTCGGCGTTTTTTGTTTAAATTACTGGTTCAAAAGATAATAATTTTATTCCGGACTTTTGCCCAACTCTGTATATATATATATATATATATATAAAAATTCTTTTTAGCTTTATTTTTTTTTCAAAACTCTAATTTATGACTCGAAATGGTGCAAACCGTGCGTGAAAGAGGTGTCTAAACAAAACTTCAAATAGAAGAAAGACTTAACCTGGGCGTAACGTAGAAATTTTAGAATCCTTGAAAAGCTGGGGTCCCCTTTTTCTGAAGAATGTTACAGTCGCGAAGTACCATTCAAGGACCAGTAGGGCCCTAAGCGTTGTCCAGGATGGACTAGCGTGATGTTGTGGAGTCGCGACCCGACCCAGGCTAGACTTCCGGACGATGGAGGATGATCAATTGTCGAACAAAATTCTGAAACCAAAAAATATTATACAACTACAGCACTATCATTTGGTAGATTTATTTTTTATCGGATCAAAAAGACATTCAGCCTCACGCATGAGCAGGCATCCAGAGTAGAGTAGACTTTTTTTCTATTTGTCAGACGCATTTTAGAGAAAGAATACCCTGTATAATAAAACATACAGAAGAAGGTAGGCAGAAAATTTCGAGAATTTGCGCATATCTAAGAAAGGGAATTTTTACTGCATGTCAATTTTGTTATTAATTTTTTTTTCACGGTATATAAGCCTATTTTTAGAAGTAATTGATCAGCACATTTTTGTTCGCAAACAGATGTGACAAAGTTTTGTTTCTCTCGTAAAGTGTTAAGGTCGCAGAGTTGCGAAAAATACTAGGATAGGTCGTGGTCGACTACAGAGTAGCCAGAGCTTATCGCGAAGCGCGCGATAAGCCAAGTATGTTTATCCGCCGTAACTAAAGAATTACGTGCGATGAAATGTTTAAGGTATTAAAATGAATTTAGTCGATTAGTAATGGTAATTTGTTGCGTTGGAGACGCCGAAAGGAGCGTCCAGATTTTTTTTTGTTTGTTTTTTGCACGAAGCAAAGACACCCCCCAGTAGTCGGGGTTGTCAAAGAGAAGGGTCAAAGGAAAAGACCCAACGTAGTACGGATAAGGAATCAACCACGGAGGAGGAGAATTTGGAAGATGATACTTGACGAAGTATTGAAAATTCACCTCTCGTGTATTAGGGTGATCACCAAAAAGTAAGAATAGGTAAAAAACTCGGCGTAGAATCGAGTATTGAGAGAATTAAACCGGCTAATAGGACGAACCACGAATCAAAAAAGAGAAACAAAACAGGGACATGCAGCAAAAATTAACCATAGTGAATTTGAATTTAGTTTTTTTTCTGAGGTATTCTTAAACACAAGTATTAAGCAAAGTGTAGTTACCTGACTTGGGGAGTGCGAGGCGATGGACCAATTTTTGGGGCGTAGTCCCGCAATAGTGGATATTAAAAGAGGGTCGCCTTCCGCTTCGAAACAGGTCCGTAACTCCATTTTGGAAGGATTCTTTTCCCATGTACCTTCAGTCCGCGGGAAAATTTCACTTGCCGAAATCGATCTTGACCTACAAGATCGTTATTTTAGATTTTTTTTTATTTTTCTATTTATTCGATTACTAGCAGAAAACCAGGCACCTAGCTCGAAAAAACTTCGGGCGGGAGGCCTGATTTCTAAGCATGGAATTTTTATCGTCTTGGGAGACGATATTATTACAATACTTTATATAATATAGTAAAGGGGGGTAGAAATAGGACATATATAAGAAGATAACTAGCGATAATCTGTTTTTTTTTGTATTTCGGGAATAAACTGGTGGGTTAGTAATAAGAAGGGATTTTAGTAGGGAATAACGCAAATGTTTTAGACGAGCAATAAGGACGACTTACCTTCCCGTGAAATGTTGACGAGGGCTAATCCACCAAGGCTGGCCCTTCACAACCGGCACTAGGACACCAACAAGCACACCACAAAGGGCACACCAGGTCCCGTCCGATTATTCCTATCGAACAACACTGGACAGAGGACACAGCGGACCGCACCCACAAAACCACTGAGTCAGGCAAACCGAGGGTCCACGGATGGAACATAACCACTTCCACCACCAACACAGGGGACCCGAGGCCACGACGGAAGTAGATAGCACCGATAAACCGAATACCGCCACGTCAACCCACCCTTAGGGTTGATAGTACCACTCGTTTGGTACCGGCTGTAGCAACAACAGCCAACGCCAACCAGGCCGCTGAAAAGATGCCAGATACGAGTTGTCGCCAGGGAGCCCGAGGCCGAGTTTCGCGCCCACGTAGAGCAGACGACCAATCAGAGCAACGATGTGGTCGTTACAAAAACCTAAGCCGAAGCTCAAGGCCCCAAAGATAATCCCGTCACCTTGGAGAATGGCATCCCGCAGAATCAGCAGCCTGGCGATAGAGAAAATCGCTATCTACTCCCAGGGAACAACAAGGTGGTTACAAACTGCAAGTGTTCGTGGCGCGTAGGTGTAAAGAATTCGAAACGATAAAGTGTGCCGCGGAGTGTCGTCTTGCGGGAAGATAAGACTGGAGAAACGCGATACGAACGCATGTACCCGTTTCAAATCTCGTCGAAGCATTTAATTGTCGGGTAATTATTGTAATGTTTTGTAGTTTTAGGCATTTTTTTTCTTTTGTATTTGTTGATTGATTTTTTTTTCTCTTTTGTCAATTTTTTCTTTATTTCGCATGTTTTTTTGTAATTTTTTTTAATTTTTTCAATTTTTCTTTGTAAACTTAGCTGGGTAGTAGGGAAAAAGCCAGGGGCTGGCTTTAGCGGACGGGGGGCATGTCACGAACGCCAATGAGTCGTGAGACGGTTAGGACACTCGAGTATTGAACCTGTGAGAATCGTTGCAAATAGTGCAACGATAGGTGAAATATTTCGAGGAATCATGTAAAACAGGATGCAACCAAACTCCACCGTCGATCGGACCACCGTGAGAACGGTGGACAAACGGGGGAGATTGGTTGGCATAAAAAGCCTAACCGCCTCGCGCCCGGGGAGATTCCTTATCCCGTACGATAAGGGACAGTACGCGTGATCTCTTGCGGGCCAAATCGAATTGTAGAAGTAGTTCCGAGCGTGTGTTATAGTTCCACCGAGTTCAAGTGTAACGGTGTTGTAAGTGCTCGAAAGAGTAAAGAGATCTCGCCGGCCCTCGTGACGTGCCCCGAAGTCTGCTAGACCTTCTAGATGAGGTAGGGTAGTTTGTAGGGCTATTTGTTGTTGCTTGGTGAGGTACAAGTACCTCACCCTTGTGTACTTAGTTTTAAGCAATATACCTGTTTATTATTATCTCTCTGAGTATCATTCTCTGGGCCCCTAGTTGAACCCCATTTTCAGAGTAGAAAGAAAGCCAAGGCTTTACCGCTACGCCCCGTAGCAAAGAGGTTCCGCCGATAAAGGCGAAGCACGAGTTGAACAACACGATAAGAGGGCAAGTAGCCCCAAACATAGCAACTCGTGACAATATTTTTAATAGCCAAATGCCTCGTCATCTAATTAGCGACGCGCATGAATGGATTAACGAGATTCCCTCTGTCCCTACCCACTAATATTGTGTCGTCGTACGCCGTTACGCGCTGTGAAATTACCGTAGTAAACGATAAATGTGAACAAAAAAAGGTGAAAAGTGAATAGTGACTCGATACGGCAAAGCGCCGCCGGCGCTATGGACATTAAAAACTGCGTGGAAAACACTGAAATCGTAAATATAGTGGAAAAACAACAAATAAACAATAGTGGAGGTGCAAAAGCTACTTCTCAAACGTGCAATAGTGGCAGAATCGAAAAAAAACCGAGGATGGGGAAGCGCGCCGACAGCGTCCCGAAAAAAACCAGGCAGGAACTTCAGGAAGAGAATGAAAAACTAAGAGAAAAACTGGAGGAGCTCCAAGCAACGGTAGAAAAGCTGAAGGAAATGATGGAACGTGGCGAGAAGAGAAGAAAGACAAAGGTTAGTGAAAACGTAAACCCTAATACAGAACTAGACAACGAGAAAAAGTACAAAAGCGCCTCCGTTCCACAAACAATGGAAACAGAGGTCGCAAATGAAATTGAGATCGAACAGGACGACCTAAGCGGGTTCGTCGAAGTAATACGACACAAAAATAGGCAGAAACGCACTAATATGAGTCAAAAAACCGATAACATACCGAATAATAATAACCCGAAACCCATAGAAAAAACAGCCAGACCGCCAGCAATTATAGTTAGGGAGGAGCCAAAAACCCTAACGCAGATATTAAACACAGTCAACGTTACCGCGTACAAAATATTCGCGAAAAATAACGAAACATGCGTTTTAAAAACGGACAACATGGAAGCGTACAAAAAATCAATTAGTATCCTAGACAAAACCGAATCACAAAAATACACATATACACCGGCAACGGAAAAACCCCAGACGACCATTCTCAAGGGATTAGGGAAAAACCATACAGACGCAGAAATTAAATCGTTTATTAACGACCGCGCGCCGGACGTCAGGATTATCAACATTAAAAGATTACAAACCAGACGGTCGTTAAGAGAGGACTACATAATACCGATATACATAATACAAATATCCCCGGACAGCAATTTAAAATCAATTACCGAAATAGACACACTAAACAATATAGCAGTTACTTGGAATAAACTAAAGAAAACCGGCAAAACCCAATGCCGGAGATGCCAACGAATAGGCCACGTTAGCCTTAACTGTACAATGCCGTACAGGTGCGTAAAATGCATCGAAGAACACAAACCAGGGGAATGCCCAATAACCGAAAAAGTACAACCCGAAAAATTATACTGCGTATTATGCAAAAAATACGGACATCCGGCATCGTATGGGAAATGCCCGGTCAAATTTAATAGGGCAAGTAATAATACCGTAACAAACCAAATCTCCGCAAAACCGCGGCAGGAACCGAGAGTGATAAAAGCTACTAGGCCGGTTACAGCAAATATCCAGTATGCACAAGTAGCCCGAAATACCAGGCAAGAAGACACAAAAACCAACAAAGAAAATGCGCCGGAACCAGAAAAAACCCTAATGGATGCAATTTTACAAGAAATGAGAAATCAATTCGGTCTGATAAATAAGCGACTAACTAAATTAGAGGAAGACGTCAGCGTGAACAATGCCCTGATGAATTACAACGAAGAAGACTACGAATAAAAAAAAAAAAAAAAAAAAAAAAAAAAAAAAAAAAAAAAAAAAAAAAAAAAAAGGGCACCTAAGAACCCACGAACCTAATTAATGGATAATACACCACACGCTAATACACAGGGGATTAAGATCCTACAACTTAATGCACGAAGGTCAAATGCAGTGGCAGGAGAAATACGGGAACTGATCGCAGACAAAAACCTGGACATACTGGTACTCCAGGAACCAGCAACGAAAGGCAATGACATATGCGGATTAGGAACAGGAAACAGAAAGATAGTGTACAATAAAGAAAAGCCCTGGGCCGCAGTAATACTGTGCAATCCATATTATGAAGGCTGCCTTGTAGCAAGTCTTAGCAATAAAAACTGCGCCTGTGCCGAAATAAAGACGCCGCATGATAACTTCTATGTGATATCTATGTACTTCCAAAGCGGGGATAATGACAAAGAAAAATACATAACACACCTAAGAAAAGTGCTTCAGGAGCTACGAGGAAGAAAAGTAATCGTGGGCATCGACGCGAATGCACACTCCCCCCTATGGGGGGGAGAAGTAACCGATCATGAAGGAGAATCTCTTGCTGAAGAGATAATCACCTCAGGAGTAGCGGTTCTAAATGAAAAGGATCAAGGGCCAACGTTTAAAACACCTAAAGGGAACTCATACATCGACGTCACGCTGGCTACTCCGAAGATACTCAAACAGGTACGGAGATGGGAGATAAAACCACACTGGACCACGAGCGACCACAGGGCAATACTGATAGAGCTAGGGGCTCAGAAAAATACAGAAAACCAAGAGAAAACCACTACACGAAGATTTAACACCAAGAAGGCCAACTGGAACAGATTCAAGGAAAACCTACAAGCCGCGATAAGCAGACGAAACATCAGCATGGAAAGCAAGGAAGAAGTGGAAGAGGCGGCTAAGCATCTAACAAACTCAATCATCAGAGCTTGCGAAACTACTATGCCCAGAAAAAAAAGATTCAAGAAGTCCAACCCCTGGTGGACACCGCGCCTCACAGCGCTGAAGCGAGAGGTAAACAGGACCAGGAAGAGATACTATCAAGAAAATGATGCTGAGCAAAAACTAAACCTAAAGCAAGCACTTCAAGAAAAACAAAAAGAATACAAAAAACAAATAGCAAGGACTAAGATGAAAAGCTGGCAGGAATTTGTCAGCACGAATGGGAATGAAAATCCATTTGGACTGGCCTACAAACTGCAAGCTGACAAAGTCCAGTTGCCCCAGGTCCTAACTACACTACAAACCAAACAAGGAGAGACAAAAAGCATGCATCAAACCGCACAACACATGCTGCAGGTGTTGATACCAGACGACGACGCGACCCAAGACACGGAGGAACAAAAATCAATAAGGAGCCAGCAGTATGAAAAGCCAGACACCACCGATACAGAACCATTCACAAAAGAAGAACTCCAAGAAGCAGTAAGGTCCTTCGGAAATAGGAAGGCCCCAGGACCAGACTTAATTGACGCGGTGATCTTAAAAAAGGCCCACGAAACAACTGACGATCTTATGCTGCAAGTATTCAACGGATGCTTAAAATTTGGAATATTTCCCAAAGCCTGGAAACACGGGATTCTTCGAACCTTCCTAAAAAACAAACAAAAAGATCCAACAAACGCCAAATCATACAGGCCAATCTGCCTCCTGTCACTACTCGGGAAAACACTTGAGAAGCTAATAAAATACCGACTGGATGGAGAAGTTATCAACGACGACAAAATGGCGCCAATGCAGTTTGGCTTCACAAAGCAGCGCTCAACAGAGGATGCTATTGTAAAATTCAGAGAATTAATCGACAGAACGGAAAAAAAATATACGATAGCAATCCTCTTTGACATAGCAGGAGCGTTCGATAACGTATGGTGGCCAAAAATAATGAAGGGCCTAAAGGAAAGGGAATGCCCGAAAAACCTATATAGCCTCATAGGAAGCTACCTAGGGGAAAGGACAGTAGGAATACAGATAGGAGAATGCGAGGAAATTATAAAGCAGGCAACGAGGGGGTGACCCCAGGGGTCAGTATTGGGCCCCTCCCTATGGAACATACAGTTCGATGACCTGTTACGTGAACTCGACCAAATAGATAACGATGGGGTTGTAGCATACGCAGACGACGTCACCAAAATAATCTCGGGGAATACCCGGAAGGAGCTCGAGGACAAAGGACAGATAGTGGTAGACCGGATTGCAGATTGGTGCAAGAAAGCGAAAATACAACTAGCGGCACATAAGACGGAAGGCTTGGTGGCGAAAACAATATGGAAAAGAAAGGCACCGATAAGAAAGGGGCAAGGCAGAAAGGACCGACAACGAAAAAGGGAAAAGAAACCAACGCTGGAGAGGCCCCCACAAATCAAGGCTGAGAATGAAGTAATAAAATTCAAAGACACAGTACGATACCTAGGAGTGCACTTTGACAAAAACTTGAAAGTCCACTCGCAAGTACAAAAACTAAAGCAAAAAACGACCACGCTGTTTAGCAAACTAAAACGACTAGCTGGAAATACCTGGGGATTGAATCACAAAACGATGAGCACGTTATACAAAGCAGTGTTCGAACCTATAATAACCTACGCCGCAAAAGGATGGAGCGATCAACTAACAGCTAAGGACAAAGAAGTACTCAAATCGGCGCAAAGACAGGCACTCCTTGCCTGCACCAATGCATACAGAACCGTGTCAACAGACGCACTCTGCATCTTGGCGTACACCAAGCCAATTCTGCTGAGTCTAGAAGAAAAACAAGCTAGGTATACAATACGCAAGAACAAAACTGTAACGATCGAGGATACAGTTATACAGCCAACAAAACAGATTAGGAAGGCCTATAGAAAACTAAGAAAAGAAATCAACAAAAAATGGGAGAAACAATGGAAGAACACAACTAAAGGACGGAAAACAGCCGAATTCTTTCCGGAAGTAAAAACCAGAAAAACAAGCGGGGTTGAAGTTAACCATTATACGACACAAATCTTAACAGGACACGGTAGACTAAACAGCTACCTCTACAGAATAAAGCAAAAAGAAACGGACCTCTGCATATGCGGGGAGCAAGAGGACACAGTGGAACACTTCGTAAGGTCCTGCAAACTCCTAAACAACCAAAGAGGACAACTGGGAACAATCAACGACAATTGGACATGGCAAGAAACAACAAAGCACCTGATTACAGAAGCAGCAAAAAAGTTTAGCGAATTTTGTGCAGACGCCCTAAAAGAGAAAGAAACTTACGAAACCAGATATGGATAAAAAAAAAAAAAAAAAGCCTTGATCCCTCCTCACCCTCCTCACCTGAGGAGGGATGACGAGTCGCCTCCCCGTGGCTCCCCGTGGGTGCGCGTGGCACCAGTGTGCACGCGTAGCAAAGTACTCGTTCCGCATCCCAATACCCCCTGCGGCAAGGTTGGGTTTTTCCAAGCCGGTTACCTAGACAGCGGTGGAGTTTGAGAAGGGTAAAAAACCCTAAGTTTATGGTTAACAAACTAAAAACGTAACATTGAATGTCCCTACCCACTAATGGGCTCACTGACAAAGGACAAGGATCTGGTGGTAATAGATAGGATAAAGCATCGACCAAAATTTACAATTACAGGGGTGACAAAAGGCACGGACGGTCAAGGACTTACAGACAATGACATCATCGACATGATACTAAATGAAAACGACGACATAAACGACAAATACGGACAGGATCTAAAGAAAAGGCTGAAGATAGTTGCAAGAAGAAACTGCAGGAACGCGTTCAAAGAAAACATCGTCGTCGAAGCCGACGTGGAAACTTTCAAATACTTCGTAAAAAAGGACCGAGTCTACATTGACATGGTAGCTACACAAATCCAGGAAGCCGTTAGCGTCGGTCTATGCTTCAACTGCCATAAATATGGACATGTAGCTAAATATTGCAAGGACGAAGCAAGGTGCCACCTGTGTGGAGGGAGCCACAACCATGCGAAATGTGAGGCCAAACATCTTGATTGCCTCAATTGCAAAGCGGCCAAAATACCGGAGGAACACCGACATCACTCCGCGCGCGACAAACTCTGCCCCATTTACGATCGAAAACTTAGACAAAGCAGACAATACATACAATACGAACCATGAAACTATTACAAATTAACATTGACAGAGGACGTAACGCAACAGAACTACTATTACAAACACTAAAGGACAACGACATTGACGTGGCAATTATACAAGAACCGTACAACAAGTGGACAGGTGACAAAACTTACAAAATTCACAGGACAAATGACACGTCTAAGACACAAATATGGACAAAGGCAAACATGACTAACGTGACCACACGAATGGACCTCTCGACGAAAAACATGACAACCGTACAAATCACTGACAAAGGACAAAACACACTGTTCATTACCTCATTTTATGACGAACCGGGAGGACACTTAAATCAAAGACTTGATCAACACACGAGGTTACTACACAGGATACATGACAGACACATACTAGCAGGGGACTTCAATGCACATAACCAGGCATGGGGAGGCGACAATACGGACAAGCGGGGCGACGACCTACTAGAATGGGCACTGACAAATGGCTATGACATTGAGAATGACAGACATCAAAGACCAACTTTTGACGGACCAAGGGGACAAAGTTTTATTGACCTGACATTGACCAAAGCGACGAAAATTTCAAACTGGACAGTACTTGACGAGGAAACGCTTAGCGGACATAGATATATTACATACACTACTGCACACCCACACAAGACGATTAAAGACAGAATAACCTGGACCTACGATTTTGAGAACACCAATTGGACAGCACTTAGGAATACAATTGAACAAGGACTGAACATGACAACTGACTATGCGGACTCTGACATTGACCGGAGAGCGACGATATTACAGGACATTTGTAACAAGGCCTGCACAAAACACATAAAACGAAAACAGGAGACGGAATGGTCACAAGACAAATGGTGGACACCGGAACTACAGACATTA